CTTACTATTTGTATGGTTCTATTTATATTACTTTGTGGGGGATTGTCAGTATCATAAGTAAAAGATTTCGATTAAATGTGGAAATTGTTTCTCAGTTTAGAAGACATTTAATGTTTTTCAGTAATGACAATGCCTGACATGATGATTAGGGCTAGATGAGCTAGAAAGTGAATTTCTGTGTTATGTTTTATATGTTGCTTATGCCGTTCATGACCGATATTCAATTATTTGTTTAGCTGGAAAAAACAGAACATTCGATAAATATTAAAATAAGAAGGTGCGGTGTGATTGCCAATGTGACAAGTCTCCACCAGAAATCAAATGACATAGGAGTTAACAACTCTTTGTCACCGTACGGCCTTCAACAATGATCAAAACCCATACCGCATAGTAAGCTTTAAGTAGTATCTTAATATTTAAAATGAAATTCAATATGCAATAAAAAAAATATAAATCACTGCTTTCAGAATACACTCCCAGCCAATATTTTTTGGTTTAATTAACGTATCGTGGCCTTTCGTGAAGTTTAATAACGGGAGAAGTTTATGACCACTCTTTCCGTTGGTTTTATGATACTATCTGATTTACTATAGAGGAAAATTTATGCTCTTAGACATTAGACATAAGACATCATTTTATTTACCAATTATGGGCCCTTGTCGGACAAGATACATAAACATCATAATACAATGATTATTTTAAAACATGCAAGTTTTTAGTGAAAATACACAATACACAAAACACAAAGAAATAAAGTAAAATATGAGCAATGAAGGATATTATTACAGTACGAAGCATAAGTGTAATGAGGTCGGTTTTATATAAAAAAAACATAGATATAAAATTTATTAACAGGAAATACTAGAACCAAAAATATAGTTTCTCATTTTGTAGTAGTTCACAGCAGCGAGGAACTTTACATCACGACAATGCAGAGGTCATCAAGGGGGGGGGGGGGGGGCTTTCAGAACTAGTTACAGATATGAGATCATCCCTAATAGTGATTCTCCTCATGACTAATGCACAGCAGCAAGGGGTTGACATTGCTACTGTGCAAGATTCATCAAGGGGCGGTGCTTTAGAACTCACTGTAGGGAAATTATAAAGTTCAAATTACAATTAGAAGAATGAGATTTATCCCATCAAAATTTTTCATATTTCTTAATGAATATGCACAATTCTGATAACAATTTCTCATCTTCATTATTCATTAACCATATCAGTTTTTTTGGTAAGGTCTAGATTTTTTAAATTCTTGCAGCAATTATTTATCATTGTTATCATATCTTCTCTTTGGTCAGATAGACTATCACAGTTAAAAAGAAAATGTGTTTCGTCTTCGACCTTATTACTACAACATCTTTTACATACTCTATTGTGTCTTGTAATATTGTTATATCTACCTCTCTCTATAAGTAAATGGTGAGCAGATATGCGAAATCTTGTTAGACTCTGTCTTTCTTCAAATTTTTTAACAATATTAAGATATTTTTCGTAATCAAAATTAGATTTATAAGTAACATATGTACATAGTTTCCCTTCTGAGTGGTTTTTGAGATTTTTCCCCCAATCTTTCAACACGACATATACCACGACGTTTTCTTTGACTCATACAATTTCTTTGATTCTGAAAAGGTTTATTGTATAACAATGGAAAGTTAGTGCTTTTTTTTTAATCTGTAATAGTATTTAACCAGGCGACAGGGCTCTTCTAAATAGAGTATCTGTCTTCTTGATTCTTGGACCAACTCCGTTAAGAAGTTCATCGAACATCTCTGGTGGCATTCTCAAAATATTAAAGAAGGAAGGTTCATCCTCGGTTCGTAACTCGTTCGTCAACTGATCATAATGACCAAACTGGAGTCTCCTTTCAGTTGATAACCAAGGACGAACCCAACAGGACTTACGCCGTCTAAAATTTCTTCTTATTCTTCTTCGCTCTCTCAATAACAATATCATGGCCTGGTCGTTAAGATTTTGTATCTGTGTTAATGATAGTAGAAGCATTGCTACATATACATGGTCTTGTGTTTCCATGGTCCAATTGAAATTGATGTTTCAAACAAAACATGGAGAGCTTTTATATATTTCATGTGACAATGACAATGAGCATGACTAGAACTCGAAATGGTCGTAGTATGAACGTAGTCAGGTTGTAAGAAGAGCGTAATGAGGACTGCATGAGCGTGCTAGAATCGTACTATGGTCTTAAACAGCGTGGTATAAACGTGGTATAGTCGTAGTAAAAGCGTGGATGGGTCGCGGTGATAACGTGATGGTCATAGTGAGGTCGTAGTAACGTCGCTGTGAGATCGTAGCGCAGTCTCTCCGACTAGAATCGCGCTTTCGCTACGCTCTCGCTACGATGGTACAGCGACCATTGCGATCTTACTTCGACCTTACTGCGCTCTCACTACGCTTCTACTTCGACCTGATTTCGCCACGACCGCACCACGATTGTTTTGAACATGTTCAAAGTTGGTCCACGCTCATCACGATCATACGGACCTCATCACGACCGTACAACGACCTTACGGCGATCTACACGAACGTCAAAATTTGCATTTTTTTCAGAGATGGTCTAGTGTGACGGGGGTATATGATAATCGTACGTCTTCTATTCATTAATTATAATGTTGAGCCCGTGTCTGTGGCTTAATGGTGTCGCCCTCATATTTCATGTTTCTGATTTTACATTCAGTGTACAACTCGTTTTGTTACTAAACTATATCTTGACTTCTCACTTATGGTCAACTGTAAACCAAAAAGACGCAACTTTGATTATTGCTTGGGAAAATGCAATAACCAATACTATGAATAATAAATGGACTAGAGTACTGCCAACTTAGTGTTCTATTCTCTAAAATGTTCGTTAAATGTTGTGTTTATTTATCCACTTCAGCTATTTCTTTTTTTATTTGCTGGCCATTAATGAACTGGAACAGATGGCAAATCTTCGGTAAGTCTTCTACAGTCTTTTTAAAATGTTATAGCCGCCAGGGGCGTAGCTACCTTTTTAATGAAGTGGAATCTCAAACTATAGGGCGAGGGGTCTGTGGGCCGCCTAAGGCCCCCAGGATGTCCAGGGCAGAGCCCTGGTAGGGGGCCAGGGGGGCAAAGCCCCCCGGAAGCTCCGCATATATAGCGTTTCAAAACAATCACAACCGAAATAAAACTTGGGACATTTTTGTTGTGGTTTTTTTGTCAACTATTTGTTTAACTTCGAGTCGAATGAAGACTTAACATTGTCGCTTGCGTTTTTTGTACGTGAAAGCTTTTAAAATCACGGAGATTTGTTCCATATGCTAGTATTTGTATTGAGCACAGTAGATTAAAAAAAAAAAAAACATAAACACAATACTATATGTGGAGTTTCCGTTAGCAAAACATCATGGATACCAAATACTTGGTGGACACATTCTCATATATTTTGCTTAACATATGTATTTAGATGTTTAAAAATTTTGTGGGTATACTCTACAAGAGAGAGATGGGAATTTCGAATTTTACGTAGTTAGGAATATTCGAAGTTTAAATTAATGAACTTTTTCAGAGTAAATGGTACTTTGATCACGATCTTTTTCATGATCTGCGTTTTTAATTAGCCAGCTAATTAACAAATGCATATGCATTCGACCAGTTGTATGGCAATATCTAGATGATAACAGTGAAGATACGTGTAATAAAAGTTTGGTGTATCTTTCAAACAAGAATCAGCAGTTTAGTGTCCTACTCGGACAGACAGTTCTTTTTAAAATTGAATGACCTAATAGTCCAGTAAAAATGGTTTTACAATCAATCATTCGTATAGCCGGCCCATATAGAAACGACTTCGAATTATCGAATCTATATAACAGATTTTTTTTGTAAAATAAATAAAAACGTAAAACATGTACTTGAAAATATGTACTTTTTTTTTTATAATAACAGCAGTTCCAACTTCTCATTTACTAGTATACGGAAACTATTAATTGATTGAATGGTTATTAATGTCCGGTAGCAAATATAACATGCACACAGGACGAGATACGTTGACGTGATGTGAAAATGAACTATTCGTGTTGTCAAGACCTACATACTTAGTCAATATTGAACTAGTTCACAAGGTAACAGTCATTATTCCCGGATCGATACGAGTTGAAGAGTCTTCATTCTAGTAAGATGGGTGCTTTGGGGCGAAGCGGAAAATAATAATTTTCAAATTTTTTGTTAACCCTAAAAGCATTATGTTTTTTTTTGCACTCATAGCGAGTATACGGTATGGTTTTGGTACCAACAACTATGTAGCTGGTATTTTTTAAACAATGCCCGTAATATAAAAAGTTCCTCTAAGTTTACACCAGTTGTATGTATCTATCGTACACATACATGTCTTACAGGATTAAAAATTCCGCTGCATGTGTATTCCTCTTGCTTTTATTCTTTGTGTAGTTTTGAAAATGCATACATAGAAAGACCAATTCCTTTATGTTAACTTTGTCCCTCTCTCTCTCTCTCTTTTTTTGTTTTGTTTTTGTTTTTGTGAAAACGACGTGGATGCACGTGCTGCCGTGCCTCCGGGTAGCTACGCCCCTGGCCGCGATAGATTTTAGCTTGGCATAAGGCATAGAAACTTGTCTATAGTTGAAATAAGGCCGTATTAGTTGTTTGGAATATTGGAATATGACATACAGACTGAGAGTCAAGCCCAATAAGCCTTATACATATAGTCATGTCCGGCATTGTCGTGGGATAAAATGTGCAACATGATCGTACTGGTACTACACAGCAGCCATTAGTTATTATACTACTAGCTTTGCTAGCTTTGCTAGATTTTGTTTTATTTGTAATTGCAGCTGAAGTCTATCGCAATACTTTTTTTGTTTGATTGATGGTTGTTTTACTCCTCATTAGCACAATAGACTATACCGCGGGGGGGGGGGGGGGGGGGGGGGGGCATATATCCCGTCACAGAGGTATAGATTGAAGTAGCTATAATAATATTATTAAGAAAAGTCATACCAATTTTTATGTGCATTTATTAGTTATAGATGTAAATGTCAGTTGAATATATCAAAAATAAAACTTTCAGTAACTCGAATGATTGTTTACATGAAGGCATAAGTCATTGATTCTCTGTTGAAGATCTTTAAAATGTCTACAACTTCCAAAACTATTTTAGAGACAAGCCAAGTTTATTTTGCACACACTGGCACAAAGATGACGAGAAAAAAGTGATAATTCTTTAGATTGTTTCTTTTTCAACACTTGCGGTACATTTTAGTGTTTTTACAAAACACGATATCTTGAACTTATAATATGCTGTTTGCTTATTATCATTGATACCGTAAACATAATCTAATTTGAATGATTCAGAATCAATCAAAGCAACAATAACAGCCTCCATTTCAGATGTAAGTATTTTGGGGAACATGTTTTGGAAATTAGCAATTTCCGATTTAAGTTGGTCTTTTTCAATATGGTCTAACTCTACTTCTATCAAGTATTGACTGTAACCCTCCTTCAGTACCAGGACATTATATAATCTCGAATGACTTGAATCGTATATGTCAGATTTGTACAATTCACGTATTGTTCTAATATCATCGACGGGCTCTTTAGACATTGATTCCACAGTCTTTGCGTCTTTAACCTTCGACAGAACTTCCATATTTGCTGAAAATATAGCAGGTTTTTTTTCTTATAGGAATGACATACATTTATAGAACATACAACTGACAAAAAATAACAGTTATACGTTTATTTCATGGAAGCAACATTTTCGATCTCATATTAGTATAGGTAGATACTCGCTATGTAAACAGTCGACAAAATTAAGAATTGAATAAGACCTGATTACTAGTACATGCTTTAAAAGTCAAACAATTTGTAAATTCTTCGTCAAACTTCAAGTACCTATTTATCTGAAATGTAATGGGATATCAAATATACATTTTTTTAATGTGAACCTTTGTGAATGCACTGTGTTTCGCATATTTGTATAGATATTTGATAATAAATAGAACTTATAAAAAAGAAACTAATATAAGCAGCAGGATACAAATAGGAAGCAGCACATGCATACTCAGGACGATAACATTTCAATGACCTCTGCTTTATACTAGACCGACATTCTGAGCCGGATAGCTTAGGACTAGTTTACAAGGTAACAGTTCACAGGAAGATGTGTCATCCTACCCTGACTCAGTATCAACCAGTCTTTACTCCTAAATAACGCGTGCTAAGCGCGGAGAAGCAGCAAATACCTATTTTGATTTTTTTGGTTTGACCCGGTCTGGATTGAATCCGCGATTCCCAAGCGAAGCCAAGGTTGACAATGTCTTTTCAAGGAGTAATAATCTTCTCTATCACCCTCTCAGGTATGTGTTATTTATATATTATTATACTTCATGTCAAAATGCCAGATTTTGATTGGTAAATATTAACGAAGAAGATAATTTACTCTATCCCATGGTAAATCCTCTATTTCCTTTCACGGAGACGCTTGATCAAGTGTGCGCTTTATTAAATACGAATGGTTGTTATGGACAAGACATCATAGTTTATTACTTTGAAAATTTAATAGACAGTAAAAACAGAAAATTCAGTATAATACATCAAACACTTGGTTAAGCATCTCCGTGAAGGGCACTAGAGTATTTACCATGGGATAGAGTAAATTGTCTACTTCGTATTAACCAATCAAAATCTGGCATTTTGACACAAAGTATAATAACATTGGTTGTACTGCATGCCAACAAGCGCATATAAAAAAACTGTATCACCATTAGCAAATCCAGATTTATTTTGATTATTACGTTGTCTATGAGTTAAAATAACTGCCTCTCGTGGTGATCGATGACTGACTAGGATGAATTAGATCGTATAATATTCTCGAAAATTTCACATCAAATATAAATGTATCTTTAAACATTATCATCTAGACGTCTGACTATCTTGATTTAATGTACTTGTACCTTTTCCTGCTAGTTGCATTTCAATAGGGTAATGGTCGCTGACATCGCCAGTCTGAAAAAGATATCAAGAGAATATCAATAATCAATGTTTCGAACATTACTTATTGCAATACTCGTTAAAAAACGAATTGGTGTTTATTTGTTAAGTATACAAGTTATTTCTCTTCGGTTTTTTTTATTCTTGTTTAAAGACAGGACAGACAAAATAAAAGTCAATCATTTCCTCAGTTCCAAAGATTAGTGTGTTAACATTTCAGAAAGATGGATTGACTTATACTTTAGTTCCGTCGAAAGCAGTGTTTACGGCTGGACATAGCAATACACATTTTGGGGCGATTGTATAAAAATTCGTCAGACGATATAGGACTATGGTTTTTCGTCATATAAATCTTAATTATATGCTGATTTAATTTGCGGTTTATCAGTGGGATACATGCTACACCAGTATGTGATATAACACGCATGGTTGTATCATTGTGGGAGTTTCAGATGCATCTGCAAATTCATGCATGTTATCGAAAGAAAAAGTCCTTATCAAATTAATGCCTCCCCCACCCACTCAAGGGTGACTGGGAATTAAAAATATGGTCACTTAGGTCTTCTTCCGACCGGCAGTAAAACCCTTGATAGAGTGGGGTGTCCGTTTGGCTATGTGGGATGTACCCAGCAACGTCCGATCAGAATGAGAACGTTAAATCCGATACATCATGTAGAGAGAATGCCATGCTCTCTGCAGGTTAACAACCCATGCAACAACTCTTTGATGGGTCCATAGGTGGCATGTTGTAAGGCAAAATTCTGTCCTTATCCGATATATTCTCATTTTCTAGTGGTAGTCCGACACGACACGTATCTAATAAGAAGAAAAAAAAACTCCAATTTATACTACTAAATGATAACGTTGTTTAAAAATTATTCCATTCCAGGCCATTTGTTTTCCACATAATTAATATAACCAATAATTAATAAGTTCCGAGTCGAATCCGATACCAATACCATTATTATATGTCACATCATGGAAGTAATATTTAAAAGGAATAACAACGACTAATTAGCATGTATTAACAGCCTGCAGAGCTCTGTACTAAAGTCATATGATTTTATCCAATTATAGTCTCAGCGGCAAGACCCCTTTGGTTACTATCTGTGATACCGCGGTTGTAAAATGGCATCTGGAATTTCTTATCAGTCACGTGATTTTATCGAGTCCGGTAATTATAAAGCACCTGTGTGAAATCCGAGGTTTATTAATAAGAAGGTGGCGCTGTATCATATAAAACCTCTACCTTCAGAAAGAAGTCGTATGATGTAAAAAACTTGAAAAACGGACGAGAATTGTTCAACCTACAACAGTTTAGCTTGGAAAATTGTATTTAATTTAGCATATTTTTGCTTTTTACCGTTTGTTTTAAACTGTTCTAAAAGTATTTTCCGGTTAAAAGCGGATCCCGAGTAAAACAGTTAAATACCGATGAATCGATCAGGTTTCACATGATGTTGAACAAAATAATGTAGACAGATGTAGACATAGAATATTTTACTGTTGAAATGTGCCAAGTTTATCGAGATTTATAAAAATATTTACTTTCAAGTAATTGATTACGTTATTGAAACTGGACAATGAAAATCGGGATCAAAAGTTCGTAAACATGTTAAATTTATATCTATTTTAAAAAAGTGTTTACAATTGAATACTAATATTAATGTAGCACGTTACAGCAAAAAGAAAATCAACCATACAATACGAGCTTGACGCTATCTGTCTAACCGCAAATTTATTTTATATGAATTTGTTTATGTACAAATTAAAGAATAGAAACGTTTAAAATTGTGAATATTTAATTTGCCTGGTATACACGGAAGACTTGGATTATTCGTATTTAATAAAAGGGGGTCGAAACATATTTTTTGTACAATCATCTTCTTAACTTTCAGAAATGTCTTCTTAATTAACTGCATGGTTTTAAGTATTAAAATTGAAAATGATCCACCCTTTTTCTTAAATTCAATATGTGATAACTGTCGGACTAAACTATTAAGATCGAAAAAGACATAAATAGGAAAAATAGACTAAAATCAACATTGAATGACTGACTCTATTCGGTAGCGTACAGCAGCGGAATGTAACGAGTGAACTATTCGGGTTACTTCGTACGTACATACGACAACAACTGGTCTATTCGTAATTTTCCGGGAACACGAAAATGACCGAAAAGTGTCAGTGATTTGATCTATCACATGTCGAGAGTCAATTACCATGCCATATATTAAACCAATTAACGAGTTATCGAAAGATGGGCGGTAACGCAGATGAAACCTTTGAAGTGACGACGATGTTATTCCTTTCAATATTACTTCCATGGTCACATGTAGTTTCAATCCCTCCTCTAACAGCAGAATCTGGAATTCTTCCAGTAGTTGTTTTATATCTATGTTACACCATGGAAGTAATAGTTCACTCGTTACATTCCGCTGCTGTACGCTACCGAATAGAGTCAGTCATTCAATGTTGATTTTAGTCTATTTTTCCTATTTATGTCTTTTTCGATCTTAATAGTTTAGTCCGACAGTTATCACATATTGAATTTAAGAAAAAGGGTGGATCATTTTCAATTTTAATACTTAAAACCATGCAGTTAATTAAGAAGACATTTCTGAAAGTTAAGAAGATGATTGTACAAAAAATATGTTTCGACCCCCTTTTATTAAATACGAATAATCCAAGTCTTCCGTGTATACCAGGCAAATTAAATATTCACAATTTTAAACGTTTCTATTCTTTAATTTGTACATAAACAAATTCATATAAAATAAATTTGCGGTTAGACAGATAGCGTCAAGCTCGTATTGTATGGTTGATTTTCTTTTTGCTGTAACGTGCTACATTAATATTAGTATTCAATTGTAAACACTTTTTTAAAATAGATATAAATTTAACATGTTTACGAACTTTTGATCCCGATTTTCATTGTCCAGTTTCAATAACGTAATCAATTACTTGAAAGTAAATATTTTTATAAATCTCGATAAACTTGGCACATTTCAACAGTAAAATATTCTATGTCTACATCTGTCTACATTATTTTGTTCAACATCATGTGAAACCTGATCGATTCATCGGTATTTAACTGTTTTACTCGGGATCCGCTTTTAACCGGAAAATACTTTTAGAACAGTTTAAAACAAACGGTAAAAAGCAAAAATATGCTAAATTAAATACAATTTTCCAAGCTAAACTGTTGTAGGTTGAACAATTCTCGTCCGTTTTTCAAGTTTTTTACATCATACGACTTCTTTCTGAAGGTAGAGGTTTTATATGATACAGCGCCACCTTCTTATTAATAAACCTCGGATTTCACACAGGTGCTTTATAATTACCGGACTCGATAAAATCACGTGACTGATAAGAAATTCCAGATGCCATTTTACAACCGCGGTATCACAGATAGTAACCAAAGGGGTCTTGCCGCTGAGACTATAATTGGATAAAATCATATGACTTTAGTACAGAGCTCTGCAGGCTGTTAATACATGCTAATTAGTCGTTGTTATTCCTTTTAAATATTACTTCCATGATTGTAGTAAGAAAACCAGGACGGGTTCAAACAGAACGAAGATTTTGAAAGCAGAGAAAACTGTGCGCCTTACAATCAGCATGACTTTATCAGATGACAATACGAAGACTAAAAATCCAGACTAAAATAAGGCATAGGCACTTTAATTCAGTCACGGACCTGCGATGTCGCGGGTGTGTTCTAGTGCAACTGTATATTAATCCATCCAAAAGGAATTACAGTGTAATGAATAAATGGATTTAGAACGATATAAACGGTAGCCCATTTGTTAAAAATGGAAACGTTGTTTTGTCTATCATATCAAAATACACAGATTTTACCGACCTAAAATCGAGAAAAGGGAAAATGATCTGCATACCTGTTCTGGTGTGAGATTGAAATAATCATCAAATTTAAAAACTCTAGCACTGTTGGGAACCACTGCGTTTTTTAAGTTAGCACCTGCCACAACAAACCTGCAATAAAGAGTATACTATGATGATAATGCTTGAAAATTATTGTAATTCTACGACAGTGATGTTTAATCTATTCATTTGTTAATATTTTTTGGTAAAATAGCGCAATACAATTTGGTTGTATTCAATTTTATATATAAAGATAAGTCCATTGACCTTTTGACACATGTTTTGATAAAACAAAATAGTTGAGTCTCTTTCATCATCGAAATGTTGGGAGTAATACGTGTAGCTTTCCACATGAAGCATTTTCACGTAGGATTTATATTCTAATAATTTTATCAACTAGATACTACTTTGAATAATATAACATGCTATAAGATTATTTACTGTAATAAAAATGCATATTTTTCTTTTAGTATAACATTTGTGATGGGATTGCTCCCCTTAGTATATATATGTTGTAGATAACTAGCCAGTCGTAAGCAGTTGAGCTAGGGAAGTACTTCTTTAGCTCAGTCGTTTAGAGAGCTACCTTGTAACACAGAGGTCCCGGGTTCCAGTCCCGGAGGAAACAAGGTTATTTTGTATGTAGAATCATGCTCTCCGGTTACACAATGAAGAGAAATACATCTAACAAAAACACAGAGTGGACGTGGACGGGTACTTATACATCCCCACAACAAAATGACACTGAGTACAGATCTGAGAGTACTCGCAGTTACTGACAGCTAGTTCAAAGCCAATAACAACTAATAAAAAATTCATGCATCTAAGACTAAAATATCAATCAGTACACATCCAACATCCAATGGATTTAGAGGAAAGACGTCATAAAGTCTGTCATCTATTTCTCTGTATTTTCTCTTTCTTGGAAACCTTCTGTTTTTGTTTAAAAAATCATATTTTTTTTCAAATAATGAAATTAATTAAATCTTTGAAGCTAAAGTTGAAAGTGTAGGTTACTATCAAATGCTTTAAATACCTTTTCTTTCAAATAGTTTCTTTTCCAGACTTTTAGTCTAAATACTTTTACTTCTTGTTCTTTTAAATAATTTTATTTTCCAGACTACTAAATGCTTTTACTACCTTTTCTTTTAAATAATCTCATTTTCAAGAAATTCCATATTAGACACACTTACTTATAACACTTGATACATGTTTTCAAACAAAAAAAAGACAACCATTTTTTTTTTTACATACATTTCATATAAATAATTATATTTATTTAATTTCCACAGGTAAAGTTACCTGTAAGGCCACACCAATTTGATTTTTAGTTCTTCGGACAAAAGCTCAAAAAAATATGGGGCGAGCGAGCGAAATTTTTTTGATTGTATATATTTCTTGAAAATGAGTTTTGTTGAGGCGGGTACTCTACAAGAAGAGCGAGCGGTATAATTTTTTTTTTTAAATTGTGCAATTTAGAATTTTATGTACATGTTAAAACTGAGTTACTTCAAAGAAAAAGGAGGAGAAACATGCTCTTATGCATATAATTTGATGTATTTGTGCCTGTAGTACAGTCTATACCATACCCAACTTTCTGGTTCAGTTTGGTTTAGTATAATTTTGATTATTTTCGTCAAATAAGCTTTGACTGCGTGAATTTTCATTTAAATTCATACATTTATTAAGGAAGCATAGCGGATGAAGTTTAGAAAGAGGAATTATGTTAGTTAGGTAAATATATTGTGTGGAATACAATTAAAATATGTGTATATATTCCAAAAAATGCCCTTGAACAATATTAAATATCTTTGATATAGTTGTTTTCGTTTTATGGTAATGATTGTTTATTGGCTGCTTGACATCTAGTTGGAATTATTTATCCATAATAGGATCAACATAATGAGTGAGGTGAATATTTCAACAACATCCTGAGTAAAATAGTTATATTGCTATGCATGTAGATCTCAGTGTAATGAAACATTCCCTTAAAATACCTTAAGTCCTTTTACCATATTCACATGCATTATTCCGACTTGGCAAAATACATTTTCCTTTTGCCCCTGAAACCTGCAATGTATTTCAAACTGGAAGTAATTTCACCAATAATACATCCCTAATTATTATTAGCATGCCAATCTCAATACCACCACTTCGGTCTCGAACGTTGGAACTTTTAAATTTTGCCCTTACAAAAGAGTTCTGATTGCATTTCAATAAACTAACGAGGGGGTATGGGGTTTTCATCAAAATAGGATTAATCTGTTAATCTGTCATTTTTTTAAAAATCAGGTGCATTTAATATTAATTTCATCCAAGACAGATAGCTCTATTTATGTCTGTTGTAGTCTGGGATTACTCTGATGTTCAAAGGCTGTTTTGCCAGACAAGCTGGGGCCGTGGGACAACAACACCATATCTTGTCTGGCAAAACAGCCGTTGGACGTCAGAGTAATCTCGGACTATGTCTGTTGAAACAATGATCGGGGATGACAATGGTTCTAACGAGCACTGATGTGATCGTGGTCATCTAAAGATTTTTTATTTTGTCTCCTAGAACAGGTCTTCATAGGTAAAACGAAATGCATTTCAAAATAACTGTGTGTTTAATAACTACTTATCCTCGGCAATGATTTGACACAACTTCATGTTGGCATCCTGATTTTTGACCTTTTATTTACAAATCGATTTATCACACGTGCGTTTGAATCGATCGGCGCAATATATGCACAAGAAGAACGTCTATGAGAAAAAAAAAATGTCAAGGATAAACTAATTTTGGAGCGGCATGCGGCCCAAAAATTGGCGGAAGCGGTAATTATTTTTTTTATTGAAAAGTCAATTTCTCCAAAACAGGAGCGGGAAAATCCAAAGAACTATTAATCAAATTGGTGTGGCCTAACCTGATTAGACACTTATGACTAAAACAACATATTTTGCAATAACAACATCTATTGTTCTTCATATAATCTCCCATTTAGGAATAGCCAGAATAGTAAAATATAAAATGTAGGAATAGCCAGAAGACACTTCCATTCTTTTGATGTGTTTGAGCTTTTGATTTTGCCAATTGTTAAGGGACTTTCCGTTTTGAATTTTCCTCGGAGTTCGGTATATTTGTTGTTTTACTTTTTAAAACAATTTCAGAACTGTTCAGAGTAGATATATTACGGTAACATCAGTTTACTTTCAGAAATGTCAAAATCTGAGATTTACTTGACATGTGATAAACGATAAGCACTGAATTTCGACATGTGACTACAAAGTAGTGTCTGGATTGACTATGACGAAGTTTCTCAAATGTAAGTGAGTTTACAGTTTGAAAATACCGGAAGATTGTTTTGAAAATTTAAGACTTTACGGTTTTATCTTCAAACATCTATTCAGAACGCGTTCAGATCAAATTGGTTATTTCAGTATAAAAGGAATTAACTAATGGGATATACAAAGAAGCTATCATCATCAAAGGTTAATTAATCTTCTGGAAGTTGGAACGTTAGTTTTTGACAAAATTTATGTACTAAGATATCATCAAAATGCATATAGTAAATTATGTTGTTCTAGTGAAATGTAAATTAATAACAATCATTATTTATGTTACCTATCGTAACTACATTCGCTGTTGCCAGTGGTTGTATCAACATCATCTCCTATCAGCCATGTAAACCTCGGGTCATTATATAGAGATACTTTGTCGTGATCACGGTCTGGTAGATAGTCACAGTCAGAATTCAAATCACCTGCTATAATAACGTCCTAGGAAATGAAGAAAAAAAAATGATTTCATTGTATTGAATTCTTTCTTTTAAAAGTCGTTATTATAGTTAATGCTTAAATGCCACCGAGAAGAAGACAGGTATCAGATATGGCAATAGTACTCAATTTAGTGCAAAAGGATTTAATTTTTAATTAATGCCAACACCCCCCCCCCCCCCTTTTTTCACTTTTGCTACTCTGCCTTTTTAATGTCTAATCTAGTAATTGTGCTTATCACTATCAGAAGCAGGAGATCGCAGCTAGAACCTTCTTTTTTTTACATACTTTTTATAAATATATATCACTATATTTCTGTACATGAAGAAACCAAAATCCTTACCTCCAAATTCCGTTGTGACTTGACAATGTAATATACTCTTGTTATGTTATCAATCCTAACCTCCAAATTCCATTGTGACTTGACAATGTCATATATTCTTGTTATGTTATCAATCCTTACCTCCAAATTCCATTGTGACCTGACAATGTCATATACTCTTGTTATGTTATCAATCTTTACCTCCAAATTCCATTGTGACTTGACAATGTCATATACTCTTGTGATGTTATCTATTTCTTCTGGTGCTTTGCTCGGTTTGGAATGGAGAGCAAGAATAGCAAAATCAGAGACATCTAAAAAAACAAATCATACGCAATAGTATCCTACACAAACAGAAGCATGTGTCCAACTGTTCATTTAGAAAATCAAGCAACTAACTGGCATAACGTGTACGTGTGTTTTGTGCTGGAGCATTTCAGTCGTATAAACTAACACAAAAGTGACCCTAATATGAACACTTTCACATAGATTTGTGACTGGCTATGCTGCTAATTCTCTTTAAAAATGTAATGCTATGTTATATATATATAATTTGTTTTGCATGCACACGTATAAAAATTGCGGTTTTTATCCAACGGAATCATAGGTTTGAACGTTGTTTTCAATTTAGACTTGTTTATATTTTTTCGTTTGGGCTTGTATTATATTTGCCTTCGGGTTTATATGATCCGTTCATCCTATTTTGACTCCTCAATTCAAGAGTGTATCTTAAATTGAGGTAAATTATATGGCCTTCCAAATACCGTTTCAATTCCTAACATCACTGAAGAGACATTAATCGTCGAAATCCGGATATGGTGTACAAAAATCTTTGCACCTCTGTTTGCGGTATACCATCTTTGCCGCAAGTTTATTGTTTTCTGTTTGGTATTAAATTTATAATTAAGATCCATTTATTACACCTTGTGATCCGTTTTTTTTTTGGCAATCGCCAATGGCAGTCAGCAGGGTTTAAGAACATTTGTTGTTCGACCTGTTAGTCAAATGCGTTTTGTTAAAATATACTTTTTCACTTTTTTGGTCTTTTGGAAAATGTTGTTTGTGCTGTATTTAGACCCCTCTAACACAAAATTTGTTTTGCATGCACACATATAAAAATTGCTAGGATTGCGTTGGATAAAAACCGCAATTTTTATACGTGTGCATGCAAAACAAATTTTTTGATAGAGGGGTCTAGATGCAGCACAAACAACATTTTCCAAAAGACCAAAAAGTGAAAAAGTATATTTTAACAAAACGCATTTGACCAGCAGGTCGAACAACGGATGTTCTTAAACCCTGCTGACTACCATTGGCGATTGCCAAATAAACGGATCATCAGATGTAACAAAATGGATCTTAACTACATGTATTAATTTAATACCAAACAGAAAACAATAAACTTGCGGAAAAGACGGTATACCGCAAACAAAAGGTGCAAAAATTAGTACACCATATCCGGATTTCGACAATTAATGTCTCTTCAGTGATGTTAGGAATCGAAACGGTATTTGGAAGGCCATATTATTTACCTCAATTTAGGATAGACTCTTGAATTTTGAAGAGTCGAAATAGGATGAACGGATTATGTAAACCCGAAGGCAAATATAATACAAGCCCAAACGAAAAAATATAAACAAGTTTAAATTGAAAACAACGTTCAAACCTATGATTGCGTTGGATAAAAACCGCAATTTGTATACGTGTGCATGCAAAACAAATTTCTTGGTATATATATATATATATAAGTGCATATAAATAGCAACACATAACATACGAATCTATTTGAGTGTGGATTAATCAGTACAAAGATTAATTCAATTACAGAGATGAAATTATAAATTGCCTAACAATGTAATTTTAGCACACTATTGAGTATGTAAATATTAGAATGTTTAAAATATTTACAACGCGATAAAAGTCATAAAAATAAACGCAGTATTTCGCTAGACAAACTAGCTTCATCAAGCGTGCATCTATATATCCAGGTAAAATCGGATGTAAATAAGAAACTTTTGCAGGTCATTGTACATAAATTGAGCTGTCTTGTGAAGAATTCAAAATTTGGATGAAGGTCAAGATTATTTACAAAATTGTTGGTTGAAGTTTGCAACGTCCATTGGCCAATATTACAGGATTCCACACTTTAGAACCTGATGGTCTTAATGAAAAAGACGAGAAAAGATACAGGAAAGATAAAGAATAATTTAGTACACAGCATCGTCCTTCAAGTTTATCCTGTAATATATATATAAATATATATATATATACTGCGATTAACGTAGGAGTTGTGTATGTCTTCCCATCCAAATATATGTAAGTTTTGATTGATTGATCGATGTTTGCTTTATGACGTATCTAGTATAAGTTTTGATGTGAGCTTTATACAAAATAAAAATAATATGTGCTACTGTAGTAAATTCTAATAAATTCTAAAAGGACCCTGAAGTTTGAAATACATTTATTCTGGAGTAAATGATGTCCGAACAGATGAAAGGACACAAATATTGCCAAGTTATTAAATACCAACCGCTTCATAACGATTGGGTATGATGATATTGCTATTTAAAATTTGAATATTTGTATTTTCAATTGCAGTTGACCATGGAAAAATTATGTTCCAATTGTTCTACTCACAATCCAGTCCTCTTTTTTCTCGAGTATGTCATCACCGAATGCGAATTGTCACCGAATTTTAAATTGTAACGTGTGCTACCAGTGAAGCAGGATCTGCTTCCCATTATGGAGCACTTGAAATCAATCACGGTTTCATGGCGGGGTTCGTGTTGATCTGTCTTTAGTTTTTCTGTGTAATATTTGTAGACAGTTGTTTGTCTTTTGTGCACCTGTTGTTCATGCTAACAATTTCTGTCGTGATTTTGTGTTTTTTGTTAAAGCTACGATTTATTTGATTATTTTTTTTTATGACAATCATAACACATATATATTCTAAAATATCTTAATTCTCATGTGAATAAATACCGCAAAAAATAAGAAAAAATATAGACATTTCTAACCTGTTGAAGGCGATTCGAAGCGCACAACAAATGGAGGCCTCTCAAAAACATCAAATGGGTCGTCATATTGATAGGTATCCGTAACCCTGAGCTGTGTGCAATCCCTGTTGAAATATGATAGAAATACATAAAAAAAAATATCTATTATCATTTCTCACCTATGCTGGCAACCAAAGCATACCATTAATGTTATTATCACATTGTTTAGTCTCGGTATTTAATTTTTCGTTTAAACATCACTGGTTTAAGGGAATCATATAACCATATAAATCTTCAAAATTTGAAAATTGAAATAATTTTAGATCTAGATCCATTTGATTGTTTGGTCTATGATTGTGTTATGGATGTTTTACATGTTTCTTTTTATCGAAGGTGACGAAACAGAACAACATAAACCAAAAATACTTTTACAGATCAACCAACAACCTTTAATGGCAGACAGCTAACCTTACCATATATTAAACTCAAAATCCCTTAAAGTTTTATAAAAGATGTGAATGAATTTAACACAGCTTTCCTAAGATCTAGCATAATCACCAACACTTTGGATGAACATATTAAAATACCAAGGACACCTATAACCATCGTTTAGGTTTCTGACTTAATTAATTAATTAACCCAAAAAAAATTGACCAAAAAATACATAACATTACAACAATGTTAAAATGATACCATATCATTAAAGAAGCACAAAATTCATAATCTCCTGATTAAAAAATCACGCCTTCTTGCACAGTCTATTGGCTAACATACCTATAAGCAGATTACATACGGAAATGGTGTGTGCAATGCTGAAATTAAGATCTTGCGTTAATATGACAAAAGAAAATTTGTATACAGACCTCCAAGCATTCGCCCAGTAATCAGTAGTTCACCATTGACAAGATTAATAACATTTCTTATATTTCATGTTTATAGATTTAGAAATTATTAAGAAGCTAAATTTAGAACTACCTGAGGAAAAGTTAACTTTTCTGGTTTCGACAATTTAGTTTAGGTTCGTTTTGGTCTTATAACTCCTCAAATATTTATTACACATCACTGGTTCTCAAATCTTTGGTTTTGGACGTTCCCGATTAAGATTAATCACGAAAAGCGCTTCGGACGCACATATATTATAGTGTTATATTCATTTGCTTGAATATATTATTGAATCAAACATACCAATAAAGAAATCCATATTGTTCTTTTGATGAAGATCTTCCAAGTTTTTCACTGATGACAGATTCCAACATACACGGTTCATCTAGTTGTTCATTTAATAGACTAAAAACATATTCATGTAAAAAATGTTGTTGAAATGGAAAATAAACATCAAAATCGTATACTTATTTGTAGAAAATTAAAATCACAAAACTTGAATAGATAAACAAACAAATAACAACAACAATAATTAAAATCAATTAAAATATAATTATGATATTATTTTCATATATGAAAAGCTGTTAGGTCTTTATAGTGTCTCAAATTGATTCTTAAGTTGTCCTCAATCGGGACAAATATGATATAGACATTTATTGATTGCCCAAGACAGTCATGATTGTGACATCCAGATTATTTTCGGGTTTTATTATGCTGTTTGGGTAGGTGTTCCAATGACATATACCTAATTCCATTAACTTACACTCGTATCACATTAACATGCTCTCGTTCTTAATATGGCTAAAATATTACCCGCTGGACATTAAAAGTTCATTCAACCATCATTTAATTCATTCCGATTTAAATGTAATTTTTGTACTGAAAAAAAAACACATTTCTTAAAGAAGATTTACTATGCATCGCAGGTAATTTTGAAAAAGTGGCAGACTAAAGATAAATAATACTTTGTCAGAACAAAGGGGCGAAATGGGATTAGTCGAACTTTATTTCCTTTCCTGAAGTCTCCCTTTTCTCTTTCTCAAGGTGTATCGGTTTGACTTTAAAAAAGGGAATGGTTCGCTGTTTAAGAATTATCAGGACTATGGTTAATATAGTATTCGTACTCTAAATCAAGTCGCGTTCCATTGTTTTGGACTTTGATTGCCAATCTCAATGTTTGGTGTAAGATTTCTAAAATTTTCTCCGGAATACCTCAGGTTATGAGATGACAAATTTTCGAGAAAAGTGTAATACCTCTACATACATACCTCATTTGTTCATTTGCCTTGGTTTTCAACTCATTGAAAGCTGTGTCGCTGGCATCTCGAATTTCCTGTACAAGTGTTAGGTCACAGAAAATCAGGATCTACAACAGATCATTGTTGAAACAGTTGAGTACATATTTTTTACTTTAGTCTAGACTAATCTGAACAAATTATTCTAATTAATTATTAATTTAAAAGAAATAATTGCATCGTGATTTTTAAAAGTTATTTTTCTTAGTCACTTTTGAAACACAATCGTTTTGACAAAGTTGAAGTAGAAAATTCGACACTGCCAAACAATTTTGAGTAATGATAGTACTGTAAAATTAAATTAACGTTCGACACAAAGAGACAGAAAAAAATCATATTAACTGTTGTACTATTTAAATAAAAATAGGGTTTTAATAATAAATATATGAAAAGACTCGACATGGAAACCAAGAAAGTTTGCCCAAGCTAAGATAGAATTAATGAGAAAATTAAATCTTAGTGTGTTGTATGTTCTTACTTAAGCTGTGTAATATATAAACAGCCTCATCGTGAATAAAGAAGATTTAATTCTTAGTGCGTTGTATGTTCTTAGTGTTATTTGGTAGTTAAGTTGCTTTCATAAAAGTAGGAGGTATTGAATCAGTATTGTTGTAGTTAGTCGTCGATAGTTCCATGGCATCATAGGGAATGATTTTCCATTGTGCTGTTACACCATTGTCCATGGTTACAAGGTAAAAGGTAAACAAGGTCTTTAAAAATTATTTCTGATTGGAATTTGCATGAAATAAAAAAAATCTAATGTTGAAAAGCGTTCTTTACGTATTAATGCTGAAATATGCAACAAATGCACAGTTGCATTGGTAAGTGTTGATCTGAAATACTGCTACAATACATTTGGACTATTTTCTAATTGCCATAATCACATACAAGTGTAGAAGTCGAGGATGCCCAAATATCGGTTATAACCAATTTTCTATGTATGTACCCCATATTACCTCTTTTAAAGCTGAATGTAAAACATTGGTCACATATGTCATGTATTTTTATTATTATAACAAAAGTGAGTGTATAAAAATCAAACCTGCGCTTTTCTCTATTCTCTTATATCTTTCAGGTACAAGTATACAATTTACAATATGTAATTAAGGAGATATCTTTAAAAGTATATCAAATGACATCTAAAAGGCTATTGGTTTCATTGAACATGCCAACATCCTATTGGAATATTGAATGATTTGTTTTGTTTTTTTTTCCTGACCTAAAACATAGGACTGAAAGTAAATATGTTTTAACTAAATCTTTTGCGCATGCTTTGTACTTGCTGAATGTTATTTGGCTTGCTTCTATATCATAAACATTGGCTTTAAATTCTTCTGATGTAGATATGACACATTGCAGTCTATTTGATCTGGTCTGATAATTTTTTGAAATGTATTTTTTAAGCTTAAAAAGAGGCGGAAGATACCAAGGGACATTCAAAAGTCCTAAGTCGGAGAAACAAACTGACAAAATGCAATGGCAAAATACGAAAAGCGACGTAAAGACGAAATAGACTTTTAATCTACAAAACCCTAAATAGAAAACTACTTAAAAAAGACTCCGCAACACATCGGGATGAACTCAAGTGCTCCAGAAGGTCCAGCAGTTCCTGCTCCACCTGTGGCCAAGTTCAAATGGAATCCTTGTTCTGACTAGAGTTCCACATGAACGGTAAATATTTTTTTAAAGTAAGGTCTCTAGATTACAGGAAGTATAAGGCCCCTACTCAGGATATGTTGACATTCAAATTTGATTTGATTGACGTCGTAACATCCAGGATATCGAGACGACTTCGAGGAACACTGCCCACACCAAGGGCCGAGTTCACTTGAAATTCTAGAGTCGACTTCAGAGTTTCAAGAGTTTCACGTGAACTCACTCGAGTTGCTATTCGGAAAATCTCTAAGTAACACTAAGGTAAGGCCCTGACCAAGCATAAAAAAACGAAAAAATCTGATTGGTTTGACGTCATTCAAGGGTTACTCGAGTTTAACCCTGGCTCAGTGAGAGTTGGAAACGGGGTAAGAGGGTTAACTCGAAAGGTTCAAGTAAACTCGGATTGTTGAAACCCGAGTAAGCAATGTTAACTCGAGAGGTTCAAGTGAACTCGGCCTCATCGAGTTCTAATGGCGGGGAGGATATATCCAATCACCTGTTATATATGACTATGTCAATACTATCTACTCTAGAGTTCCATTCGAACTTGGCCTGTGGCACCCGTCGTGTTGCACATGCCAGTATAAAATAACTTACAGTTTTATATATTTTTTTTCATCTCAAATTATTTAAACAAGAAAGTTTTAACATTTAATGTAAAAAATAAATCTTGCAAAAATTCGAAATTTTCGGTACTTAAAGCTCTGCAACTTCGTATTTGATATGGCCTACCAACTGTTTTAATTCGAGCACCACTGATGAGTCTTATGTAATCGAAATGCACAATAAACCTGGTATATTTGATGAGTTTTGACATATTAAGTGCACCAGTCCACAATGGCATAATGAAGTTGCTACCTATGGGTATTGTAGATTGACATTTCAGTCTCAGACTGGTAAAACATGGCATATTTGAACTAGATTCCATTAACTGCGATTACTCTTCAATTGGCACATGTACTTCTTCAATTTTGTAGGTTACATTTTGATAAGTGCCGATATAATTGATAAAACCCTTATAAATGTGTTTAACAGTTTGTTCTATTGTCATACATTTATATCACGCACTATCCAAGGTTAGAAGAGGGTTGGTCGCTAACAAATATGTTAAACCATATCGCATGATATATACATGTACATAGTGCAATAGTTGATGTTGGCTACTTTTTGGCTTACTTGTTTTTCGTTTATGTTATAAGCATTAACCAGTCTGTTACTTCCTCTCTTCATTTTTTTTCAAAATTTGTTATACCGGGCGTTGTGTAGCCTTGTAACTAGGCTATGTCGTTATGTTTTTGTCTAATTACTAATAGGTATAAGTTCCAGATATAAGCCATCTGTTGAATGAACTGAAAAGTGTTCCGACGTGGAGCGATTAATGGATGTTATTAGATGTGAGCACTTGTACAAGAGACGAAAAATAGACCTCTTTTTTGTAGAATGGTTATTAATTTCTAGTTGTGGCTCATTTTTATTCTCAATTTAATTATTTTCTACTAAATTTTTAAAGTTAACCAAGTCTTAATCTCTTTTGAAGTTGTTTAAAATGTTATCCTTTTCGATAGTATTTAAAAGGGACTTTTTTACATTCAGTACAATGATTTGTGTATATAGCAATGATGCAATAATAATTATCATGTACGTAATACTCTAGATAAATGACAATAAAACATGACATTTCATAAATGTTTGATCCTTATCTGTGGCATATAAAATGCCGACGGTATAATATATGTTTGGTAGTCAAAACCAATCTTTAATTCAGAATTGAATGCGTCTTTTTGTAATTTTATTTTGGGTGTAAAAGCTAAGCACATTTTGTATAAAGTGCTGCTTCATGACGTTGCCACGGGAAGCATGTGCTGTCAGGAAAGTTAAATTTTATTTGGAAATACAATCTAATTTTGAAATGCTGATCGTTTGTTGTCAGTTAAATCATAAGTACGGATTCTTATGAAATATTTTGATATATAATCACATGATTATGAAAGCACGTATTCAGGATATTGTTCGAATAAAAAAAAAATTGAAAGTCAATATATTGTGCACTCTGTAACACAAATGTCATATCCGCGTTTTTATTTCATTTCACGTGAACTAGGTGAACTGTTATTTAACTTGAACCAAAATTATTGAATAGTCGAAGAATATGTAAGACTTGAACAAGAGAACTCTTTCTGCATATGTTTGAAGGGAGATGAATTAAATTCATAAACATTGAATTATTTTTTTTTTCAATTATGTAACTATATAAATTGTGAAATAAATGAGTACATATCGACAGCGCTACAAGAAAAACCAAATATTTACTACTATTTTACATTTATTTAATCACACAGTGAGACAAATACTTTTATATGGATCAGAAATCTGGGGGTACACATCCTCCAAAAAATTCAAAACTGACCCTGAAAGCTTTATAATATAAGAAATTGACACCATCTCAGTCGAGAAAGTACATACAAAATAAATCATCCAACTTGGCCAGTAGAGGTGAACTAGGAAGCTATCCAATCATTATGTATGTTTTTCTTAACATGGTTAAATATTGGCGTTATCTAAGAAAATATTTCAGATAAAAATAGTATATTGTATCAAGCTTTTCAAGATTCTATTATAATGGATTCAGAAAATAAAGAATACCGGATTAGTAATATCAGAAAATTTTTGTCCTATCTGAAACTTGATTGCATATGCCTAGTTCATCTAATTATATCATAACAAAAGTAAAAAAGTTCTCGAAAAACTATATTTATCCAAATTTGTTTTAAAAGGTTTTTTTCATGATACTAGTACAAAGCATTCCAAAGTTGAAAACAAATTAAGGTGTAATACCACCAAATCATAGTACACGAAAATAGGTCGAAAAAAAATATTCCCTTGAATTTGACAGTTGTAGGTAATTGATCCTACATTTCATTGCAGTAAAACATTTCTGAGTCATAAACATATATCTTTGGTATTTCAAAGCACCATTATTTCTTTATTTGGGGTTTCTATAGAATATTTTGGAAACTTGAGGTTACATGGTTACTAAAGCTTGTACACAGGTTAAAAAAGGGGGAAAATTTGATTGGTTAACTTCCAGTGATGGTTATTTTCTTATATGCAATGAAATGTTATGTGGAATTTTTTCTATAGTACTGGACAGGATAAAACTTTACTCATGCCAAGTATTTCTGTATTTGAAACAAAGATAAATTCTGCACAATTTTTTAAAAAGTGCAAATTTAACAAAGACTAATTGGGGAAAATCAATGGTGGTATTACACCTTAAGAACATATCGTTAATTTAAAAACATTTTCAAATTAGAAAAAATATTAAAGTTGTGGTAATGAAAATGAAAGAAGATTGTTAACTAATTTTAGAGTAAGCTCACATAACCTCAACATTGAGAAAGGAAGATATTGTAACTTCGATATTAGGCAAGAAAATGTAATTTATTTAAAAATTTTGTTGAAGATGAAAACTTTTTGAATTCAATACCCATGCTTAACAACAGTACGCAAACCATACTTTGATCAATTAAATGATAATAATAATAATAACAATAGTAAACTTTCTGATAAAAACAAATTAATTAGGCTTTTAAGCAATGAAGACACAGACATCATGTATATAATACATAAACTTTTTAAACAACGGTCCAAAGAAAGAGATGCACTAAAGAAAAATTGACTTAAGAGCTGTCCCCCTTTATTACTATTTTAATCATTATATGAAATTTTTGTAATCTAAGTGAAATCCATATTGCTGGTTTTTATTCATAATATATATTTATCATGCAGTTCTTTCCTTTAATACATTAACTGCTGGCAGTCCTTTGTTAATTAATGTATCATTGTCATTTTGCTAAGATTCTTTTGTTACCTATTCTTACATCGGACTCGGACTCCTTTTAAACTGAGTTTTAATGTGCGTATTGCTGTGTGTTTGTTTATTCTACATTGACTAGAGGTATAAGGGGATGGTTGAGATCTCACAAAACATGTTTAACCCCGCCGCATTTTGCGCCTGTCCCAAGTCTGGAGCCTCTGTCCTTTGTTAGTCTTGTATGTTTTTCAATTTTAGTTCATTTATATGTTTTGGGGTTTAGCTTGACGTCCATTTTCATTGAACTATTTTTTGATAAGGGACCAGCGGAAGCCCTCCTCCGGGTGCGGGATTTTCTCGCTGTGTTGAAGACCCATTGGTGGCATTCGGCTGTTTTCTGCTCTTTGGGCGGGTTGTTTTTTCTTTGACACATTCCCCATTTCCATTCTCAATCTTATGTGTATATGTTGAATATTTTAATCAACTTAATCATTGAAATCATGTTTAGTATTGTATGGTTTGTCTTGTAGTTATAATTAAACTAATTGTTCTGCCCTAATACGGGCACTGTGATTAGTTAATAAAATGATTTGTCTGTATTGCATTGCATTGTAATGCATTGCATTGTAATGCATTGCATTGTATTGTATTGCATTGTATTATATTGTATTGTATTGCATGCATCAAATAACATCACCGAGGAATATGTCAAACTTTTGCCAATTTACGTAAACAAAAATGTACCTTTTCATATATAATCCAGAAATATCATTCATGGACACATCATTCTTATTAGAAAGCTAAGAAAAGGCAATTTTAAAATCACAATAACAAATCTAAAGATATTTTCCAATATTTGTACAAGATATTAAATTCTGTAAATATATTTTAGGTATCCTAGTAGGAACTATTCTAAGACATATCTTAGTACCGATTTAGGATGGACTATTGATTGTCCTAGGACATATCTGAGCATGCACTATACTAGGATACAAAATGTTGGAGTATAAGTAAATAGCAAAATAAAAAAAAATAAAAAAATATATATAAAGATAAAAATGCATATCAATTAACCATTGATTATAATAATAATGGGTAAACAACAATACAATAATAAAGATTATTGATAGAAAATAGTAAAATAACAAAAATACCGAACTCCAAGGAAAATTCAAAACGGAAAGTCCGTTATCAAATGGCAAAATCAAAAGCTCAAACACATCAAACGAATGGAAAACAACTGTCATATTCTGACTTGGTGCAGCAAAGATTAACATGTTTAAATTTTCAGTTTCACAAGCTTCTATTGTAATTATCTCGATAAATAATGAAAATAAAACATAATTTCATTTCATGTATATTTCTAATAACACAGTTTAACAAACACGTTCTTCAAAATGCATGATTTCTGTTTAGAAATAACTTGAAATCAGTTTCGTCACCTGCATTGAGTTACTATAATTGATTTTGTCAACTTTTTCATACGAAGAGTTACTTTTCTATTGGTCTTGTGTATCTTTTTTGCCACTGCAATAGCAAAATAAATATACAAAATAACAAGCAATCATATCTTAAGCTATATTAAATACTTAAAACATAAACCCACTGCTCAAAGAATATTAATACATTAAAATACTTTGATTTAAAAGAAATTTATACATGGTCCGCTTTTATCAAAAGATTCTACACACTAAATGAATATGAATATCCAAAAAATAGAAACTAAGTATGTATAATATCAAAGAAGATAAATTCACTTACATCTATTAAGATATCCACTACTTCAGGCTTATCCATCTTTGATACTCCAAATACTTGTATATTGAAAGCACATATGGTGAGTGGAGAATTAGCCACTTTTGGTATGGAAGCCGCTTGATATCCATTATAGATGGATAACAGAACCAAAAACTGAACAAACATCTTACTATGCATATACACGTGTTGTGATGAGAGAAAGTAAACAAAACTGAACTTTATAATGCGTTTAGTCATGCCTGGTGTTGTTTGTTTAGGTGACTGAATTCGACGTCAAAAGGGTATTTATATCGTAACATCATGCATGAACCTTTTATAAATTTCAAGTTGAAGCAAGAATTTACATTTTTCATTTCTTAACTTGCGAACTGTAAACTAACTTTATCTAATTAAAATGGCCGAGTGATTTTTAAAAAAGAAATATTTATATCGATTGCTTCAGTTTATGTAAATAGTAAACCAATATATATTATACATAGTGAAGATCAACTTTTAAATGTGTCATTTTGAAACCCGAGGTCATATTGCTATTTTGTTTACTATTTGACCACTACCAGAGTTCACTAAATAGAAATCAATTATAAATAGGACTAGTTAGGCAATTTTGATTGTCTAGTTATCTGATCTTATACACGCATGAATGGCAATATATTTCTCACAAGAGTGCCAACCAAAACTTAGGGGACGACCGTTTGATTTTCTGTGAGAGAAAAAGGGGGGATGTTAGGAGGATATTGGAAATAATTATTCTGCCTCACAAAATGCAGGACACAATTGTTCACAAAAAAACAATGTAGAATAACGCATGTTGCCCTTTAGAGTTTGATTTTCATGTTGATACCATTAAGTTGATTAACAAGTGTTGAACAAGTGATACTGCGAGCAAAGCACACATGCACAATTATATCCCACCCCTGTATTTATCTTATAATAATATATAATTTAAGTATAAATCTAGACCACGCAGATAACCATTTCAATCTCATATGCAACACATTTTCTTGTTTAAAAGGCATTCTAAAGTTCTGAGTCGGTGACGACCCTGTAACTTATAATATGGGAATATAAAGTTATACTAACTGTATGACCTTGACCCTCATGACAGTCATTAAATCTTTCAAGGACACACTTATGATAAGCAAATTGAGGCTTTAAAATTTCTGAGCCGGACACGACTTTGTATATTTGAATTTAAATATTTGAAAATGAGTATTTTAGATCTATTTCAGTTTAGGAAATGGTTTACCGCATTTACTGATCG